CGCTAGCCAGCTTTTCGTGATAGGCTAATTTTGAATATGATCTTGAAGTAAAATTTGATAGAAACAGGTATATATGCTAGAAGGACAAAAGCTAATTAGTCTTACATCTATTTTATGGCAAAATCTAAAAAGACAAAAATCCGAGTCAATTTTAAGGTAGATACTTTACCTTGCTCCGAATATGAGAAAGTAGGACATGGAAGCAACCATATTGGCCAAAAATGTAGAGAAATGGGAGAGCTAAGCGCTGATCAAAAAGGCCAAAAGGATGAAAGTATTCTCGAATAGTAAGAAAAGGCGGATTCTACAAAAATGTAGGCAAAACTAGTTCGATAACCAAAAATTGCCGAGGACTATTTGACTGCATTCAGTTATAACAAGCAGTGATGTTTTCCATTGTTTAATAGTAAATAATTGAGTGAAAGCGACCATGACTAAGCTGTCTGCGAGTCTTTATTTAATTATTATGTTAGAGTCTGCAGAATGTTCAGATTAATGCATAACTCAAGATTGTTTCTTCAGTTTCGGTAATATGGCTCATGAAAACTGAGCATGTTTCGTCAGGACTGAAAGAGGTCTCGAAAGTGAGCTAGCTTATCCGCAAAGTAAAACAAATAAATAGCATTTCGAATCCACTGTCACTTTCTGGTGTAAATACACTGCAAAGCATTTGGTCAGGCATTTCAATATGAAATGAGTCAGCTCAGCAATGGCCTCAATAAATTCAACGGATACAAGTCACTCAAAAATATTATATCTCTAATAGTTTAATATTATTAGAAACAAGTATTTCCCGACAACCTGCGATTTCTGCCAACCTACCTGCCTCCTCAATTCCTTCAATTTTGGTAGAATCCTCACTAGTACCGGGAAACCGTGGATGCTGTGACTGGTCCTGCAATGGTAACGTGGGTGACAATGATTTATCTCCCCGTCCAATGAACCCACCAGAAGTCATCGATCTCTGCTCAAATAAACCAGCTCCTGAAGGAGCAGTCTCGTCACCACCTGGAATATCTTGTTGGTTTTGTATTTGCTGTTGCTGTTCTTGAAGTAGATGAAGCATAGTAGTGTACTTCTCCTCCTCTTCTTCAGGCCAATCAACAGGTAAGCCAGTGCCGCTGGAGGAGGATGAGTGGGGCCCAGGAGCATCTGTGCAAAGCGCAGCAAGAGCAGCTGTTGTCTCAGGGCTTCCTAGAGGTAGAGGGCCCATTGGCTCAGTAGCATGCTCAAAGATGCCAAGTCCGTGAGATATACCTGGCTCGGAAGTTGACTCTGAAAGACTGGATTCACCTAATTGTCCAAGGAGAAATGCTCCGGTGCTTGATGAGGCTGAGGTATCTGAAGAAGGAGAAAAAGGTAGCAATACTTATTAGTTAAGAATGAGATAACAAAGAAATCGTAGAATTTAGAAATCGATATCACAAAGAAAGGCTAGATTATTAGCAAATATCAATTAAGGATATGTTACAAACAAGCTAGGAATAAATACAGCATCGGATTCAACAAGCTTTCTGATTAAACCAATACAATAATTTTGCAAGAAAGACGATTACATGTCAATGGCATCGTTTAGATGTGATAAATTTGCAAAGAGGAGGCATAATAATAAAATTCTAAAGAGCAAGAACATAAGGCCAATTTCATATAGGAAAATTAAATTAAATTAAAAACTGTTATAACATAGTAGATACGAAGAGAAACTGGGTTTCGATCAATCTATCAAGATTTATCCTTTCTTATCTGGTGAGATCGACCAACGAATCACTTCTCTATGCCCTTTCACACGAAATGAAAGTCCCCT